GCTGCAAACTTTAGAGCACCACCTGTCTCCTTTGGAAACCCCAGTGCCACTACACTTCTGTCTGAGCAAGCACATGACAGGACACTAGTTCCAAGTTGCCCTTTTCTTTCTTCATGGTAGTAAAGTGTTTGTGGATTTGTCTTCAGGTGAAATTAGAGTACATGGAGAAACAGTAAGAAGCCTTATTTTACAAAGTTATAAACATACCTATTGATTTTAAAATTTCAAATGTAAACTTTTTAGTCATGTCCTTTTGGAAAATGTAATCTTAAAAATGATATAACGGGCCAGGCATGTGGTCGTGCATGCCTGTAATCCCAGCACTCAGGAGGAGGCTGAGGCAGGAGGATCGCTGTGAGTTCAAGACCAGCCTGGGCTACATAATGAGTTCCAAGTCAGTCTCTACATGGTGAGACCCTGTTTTAAAAAACAAAAAAAACAACAACAAAATGATATAACATATAATCAGATCCACGATAGGGATACTCTTTTTCCCCTCTGCTTTCACTTGGAAAGGGTCACAATTTCTCTATTCTTTTGTCATGCCAAAAATATAAAAATTTCTAAACATTTTACATTGTTATGCCAAAATTCTGAGACGTATAGTCACCCTAATAGATCCAGGAACTTTGTGGGAGTTTTTCTCGTTTGTTTTCTTTTTTGAGAGGGTCTTACTATATGTAGTTCAGGCTTGCCTCAAACTTACAGCGATCCTCTTGCCTCAGCCTCCTGAGTGCTGGGATTACAGCCATATGCTGCCATGCCTGGTGTAGATCTAGTAATATTGTTTTAAATATAATTATTTTCCTAGTCAGTGATGACATATACCTACTTCTGCCCTGATCTTGCTACTACAAGTTTTGTGCTGGGGACCTGGTAGTAACTGTATTACATTGAGAACTATCCATTTAACTACACATCAGAATACTGATGGGTTCTGTACCTTTGAGAAGCTTACTGATACATGTTTTTCATACTGTTATCTAGCTTTTGTTTTTTGTTTTTGTACTGGGGATCAAACGCAGGATGTTGAGCTTCCGAGGCAGGCAGCGGAACAACTGAGCAAAATCCCTGGCCCTATTCTCTAGCTTTTAAAAAGTTCATGTTGGGCTTTGTTTCTCAGGCCCATTCCTAGTCCACCATTTCTGGGAACTGGTGGGACTGCCCAATCTCAGGACCTGAGATGCCTGGCCTAGTAGGGGCAGACTCAGGACTTTGGGAGTGGGACATGGCACTGTTCTTTTTTACCTTAAAAGTCTTCAGGTGATAGAGGATTTCTGTTAGGGAATTACTGGGCAAATATTCAATGTCTCTAGCTGTTCTTTAAGGTTTCCACTTTGTTTAACAGAATCCCCTTAGAACAGACTGTTGGTCCTTTCTGGTCAGGCCTGAAAATGCATTTGATTCCCATCTGATGCAGCCTTTTGCTGGGACATTTTTCGGATTCACTGTTTTTATTTCTTGTATGTGTGTATTATATTAAATTCACACTTTTTATAGCACTAACACAGACAATTTATGTATCAGCTCACGATAAAATACCAACAGTAGTGAGGTGTGATACACTCCTTTACCCCAGTACTCTTGGAGGCTGAAGTAGAAAGATCACAAATTCAACAATCTCAACAACTTAGAGACCAGACCTCAAAATGGAAGGGGCCAGGCATAGCTCAAAGCACAAGTGCCAGTCCTAGTTCAATCCCCAGTACCACAAAAGAGAAAAAAAAAAAAAAGATTGGTAGAAGCCACTAGATTATAGAGAATTGTTATAGGTGAAATGGTTCATTTATATCTTTAGTATTGTTTCCATCTGCTGCTCATTGATTGCACTCTAACACATTTTCTTTAGGACTGAAATGTTTTTGTTACAAAAGTATACTTGTAGATATTAGTTTGTTTACTAATGGACAATTTCTTTTTCAGGTCAAGTTGCTGTGTGGAAAATGTTCTCAGTAACCGTGGACAAAGAAGCCAGTAAACAAATGAGTTAGTCCATGTAAGCAATTTATGGAAAAATGAGTTAACATTGTTTTTAACTATCCCCCATGGATGCATTTTGTGCAGTCAAAATGGTGTTTAAATCATGAACTTTGCAGCTCCTGAGTTCGATCCCTGATACCGAACACACACACACACACACACACACACACACACACACACACACACACACAAAGAAAGAAGGGAGGGAGGGAGGGAAGGTGAAAGGAAATCTGGCAGTCCTTGGGTGGGGGGAATCTCATTTTTATTGAAGCATAGGATCCAACTCAGGATAAGCAAATGAGGAGGGCTATAAACAAAGACAGGTAATGTGTTGTAGTGATATGTGGAACTTACCTTCTCCCAAAACGAACTGATGTCAAGCCTTTGCCTTAGATTGATGCTGGTCCCTTCATGTTCAAGAGAATTGACAGAGTTGTCAACAGGAGACCTTGATTTTTTTGTGTGGTCTTGAACTGACAGTGAAGCCTCTTTGGCATTACTTCTGCAGTTGACTAGTTCTGCTCCTCTGTACCTAACTGGCCAGTCAGGTTTAGAAATCCCAGCTTTGGGCTATAAGGAGTATCACTTGTAAGTCAGGCCACTTGGGTTCCAGCTCTGCCTTCCAGACAGCATTATGCCATGGAACATGTAAACAGTACGAAACATTAAAACATTGTCTTATCCTGTTTCATGAGTCAGTGTTTTGACATCCTATTACTATACTGTCCTTTCTTCCTCCTTGAGTGTTTTCTGCAGTTTAGGCAATCTCTTGTGCCTTCTGAGTATTCAGATACTAACCCTGTGAGCACTGGCATAATACACCCTGGTGCAAGTGCATGCAGCCTGTGGTGTAAAGTGGAACTCGCTTCATATTCAGTCTTACTATTGTGCTCAATAAAATTCTAATAGTTTTAAGAATCAAGATGGGTTTGAGGGAATATTGTATAAATGGAGTAAGATGGACTGAACTCCCCTCTATAATCATTATTCATCAAGTCTTTATCCTTGGCACCTGGTATTGTGGACAGAAGAATGAATTAATGTACTTGGTATGTAAACCACTAGGCCAAAGCAGGTGTCACTAGTAATCAAATTAAACCGAACATCCAGTTTTCTTTCACTTCCCTTCCTGTACAATGGAAAGGAATAATGGCAGAGAAATGTGCTTTAAATGAGGATAACTGAATTAAAAAGATGTCATAACTGCTTTTTGGTGGTGATATGCTTTAGTCCTGAGACCACCCAGTTCAGCCAAGTGAATAAGCCTATGTGTAAGCCTTTTACTAAGATGCTGCTTAAGAACTGCTTTGGGGCCGAGGATTTAGCTCAGTGATTCTACTGCCCAATTCGAAAACTTGAGGACCCAAGTTCGATCCCCAGTACTGCCCCCTCAAAAGGCTTTGTTTGGGAGAGGACTCGCTGCTTCTTCCTTCCCTTTCTGAAAACCGTATTTTATTTACATGGCTAAGCAGCAGCATTAGTCTAGAGGATTATTGTCCAAACTAGCTCACCAAGAAACAGCTGGCAGGGGGTGGGGTAACCTGGTTGATTCAAGTCCTCTTCGTCCTTATACCACTACTTTAAGTATTTACTTATTTCCACACAAACACTTTGGGCTTTGTGTGTGGATGTCAAAGAAGCAAGCTGTGCAGCTCCTCTTCATTTATTCCTAGATGTGTGGCTGTATTTATAATTATCTTTGGCATACCGGGGATAAGGTCAGACAACTTAGTGTCACGATGATGTTAACTAGAAGGTTCACATTCTGTCACATAACTTGCCAACTTTCCCAACTATCTACAACCTTACCTGTTAAAAGATGTCATCTACATTTCTTAGCCTAAACTTCTAAAAGAAATGTGTGCTGAGTTCCTACTTCGTATGTATCTTAACAGCCTTAGCTCCTCACTACAGTAAAAGATCACCTCCTCGTGGTCTCCTGTAAGGCTCTTCAGTTTAAGCTTAATTTTGAGATGACAGGAACTTTAAACCTTTTATGTATCTATCCAAAATTTTTCCCTAGAAAGCTATGGCAAATACAGTATTATATTACTATGTGATTCAGTTTAATTGAAAAACTTCAATTTAACTAGAAAACTACACAACTTACTATCCTTGTGTTGAAATCCTGAAACATGAAAAGCAGAAAAATTACCATCATTGTGCTTTCTTGACAAAGCATAATGTTTATCTAAGTGGTTCTCTGAATTGTCAGTGTATATGGGTCTCACTTATTAACATTCCAAAGTTGTTTTCATTAAAATTATATTTCATACAACTAAAAAATGAATAGTGAGGGCAGGTGTGATGGTGCATACCTGTAATTGCCTGTAATCTCAGCACCCTGAGAAGTTGAGGCAGGAGAAGCACAGGTTCAAGCCCAACCTGGGCAACATAAAAGGTCTCTGTATCAAAACTTAAAAAGGGCCTGGGGAAGTAGCTCATTGAGTGCCCTGGAGTCAATCTAATGATCCCCCAAAAAACAAAACAAAAACTACAAATTTTGACACTTCCATACTCAGGACTTTAACTTATTAGAGTATCTGTATTTCCTAAGGGGAGGTAAGTGCGCAACCTGAGGCATTCATGTCATGAAAGGCACTGTGTGCCAGAATAAGGTTCAGCCAGGACGTGAGGCAGCTTCCTAGTCATGTTCACATGAGGTGGCGTTTCAGAATTTTAAGAAGAAAGAAAGAAGTTCCTGCCGGGCGTGATGGCACACACCTGTAGTCCCAGCACTTGGGAGGCACAGACAGGAGGATTACAGTGAGTTTAAGGCCAGCCTGGGCTTCACAATGAGTTCAGGGCCAACCTGAACTATAAATTGAGGAGACCCTGTCTCAAAAAAAAATTTTTTTTTTCCACTTAATATTCTTGCTACAGCTTAGGTTTTTATTTTATCACCTTATTTTTCAAAAGGATGAGCTGGGATTCCACTTTTCCACAAAGGCGTCACCATCTCCGCCCTTTCTGGTGTAGTGACCCCTGCACCATCACCATCACATAACAGCAGTCATCGGTCAAGGGCAGCAGAGTCATCCTTTATTCAGAGCTTGGGCAACCTGAGTTAGTATACTTTGCCTCTCTACTGTAAGCTGGTGCTTTGCACCTACTTTTCTTTTTTTATATATATATACACAAATTCACCAAGACTAGTAGAAAATTCAAAGTTATTTAAAAAAAAACTTTTCATTTTCTTAAATAATCTTCCTACAGTACTATTCCACATTGTGGAAAAAATGAAATACGCAGTCTTGGTACAACACTAAGATTTCAGAAGACTGGCACAATTACATCTATTTTTTTACATATGTTTATGTTAGAGCCACCACATTGATCTTACAGACCAAAACAGATGACAGGCTTGAGAGGTTTACAGATGAAACTACACTTGAAAGTTTTAGGTGTGCCAGAATTCCAAACTGCTTCAAAGAGATGTAAATAATTGTCTGAAAGCTCCATCCAAATCCTGTTTGGTCACTGAAGCTGCACTCTGTATGCACCTATCAGCAGCTTAACCTAGGGAAGGGAAAAAGTATGTCAGTACAGAACCAGAATTAACCTCTCTTACAAGAAAAAACATGACCAGAAGTGTCTGTCTTGTTCAGCAGTATTTTCAACCCGGTTACTGATTTATACAAGATAACTTTTATTTTTCTAAGTGTCTATAACTTGATTCTGCTACCTATGATAAATAATCCTATCATTAGACTATTTTAGTCTAGGCAGTGCAGTACTGGAGCCTAGGTCAAGCCCCAGACTGCTGAACGGGCATGTTCTTCACAGGTTCTCCTTCAGCCTATTCCTACCCTGTTGTGGGCACCCCTTGTACTACCCAGGGAATCCCACCTCTACTACAGTCACGGTATTATTTCCAGAGAACAGAAAACACTAGGAATATTCCAGAATTTTTGTTATCATGACAAAGTAATCTGCAACAGCAATTTGAGTAATAACAACATGAAGGACTTTCTTTCACCTTGGCAGCAGGTGCTTCTGTCAACCTTATGAAGAGCTTATTAGGGCCTGGAACAGGACTGAAAGAGTAAACAAAATGACTATCCTAGAATGGAAAGAAAAATGAGTATTAGTACTATGTTTTTGTTTTAAGATACAAACAGACATATGTGTAGACAGCCAAACCATATAATCTGGCTAAATGGAAGTAGAAAGTACTAGAAAGTACTAAGACTTCAATGGTAATAAAGAAATGTATAAAAAGTTTTATTTTTGCTTTTCTGAAGAATGTTCTTAAGTTTTCCTTTGATTTATTAAACACACAAATTACAGAAGATAGTATCCAGGTAAACATTTGGGATTAGTCAGTAGATAGCAAAAGTGTTTAAACTGTCTAAAAATTAACTGAAATATTCAGGCTTAATTCTACCAAAGAATGGAATTTCCTCTTCAAGAGCATTTCTTTATGATGTCAAAATAGAATCTATACAGCCACTATCTGATTATGCATTAAAAATTAAAGCATGAAAATTTCTTAAATTTTAAGTGAACACTTGTTTATAAATATAATGGTTGAAAAGGCCGGATTTTAAAATCAGGCAGTTTATTTTTTTGGGCCCTAAGAATTAATATTCAAACTAATGTTGGGTCTAAGACATTATGATAATGTTACTTAAAGCAAATAAATGAATTAAACATGATCAATTTCTATTGTCAAAATTTAGGATAATTTTACTAGTACTGTCTCATTTTCAATAATCAGTTCACTAGATCATTCACTGAATGATCATATTTTATTTAAACAATCTTTTATTTAAACATACGAATTTAACTCATCTGGGCTTTGATTAGGAAAAGTTTTAGCACTGGAATATGGAAAATCTTACCAGAAAAACAGGAAGTTGAAATTTATCATTTAAAACTACGGCTTGTACACTGCATGGTCCACAGAGCCGAGCAATAACTTCTTTACCCAAAAAGTTTGCATGGAAAATAAAGAGCAGGATGCCAGAACCTGAATAAGGGGGGGCGGGAGAGTTATTAGAAGGAGCTGGTCCCTGAGAAGGGCCTCCCATGGAAGCCAAGGGCTCTGAGAAGGCCACCTGCCCACCTGCACCTGCCAGCTTTCCTTCAAACCACAGCAATTCTGACTTCTTGCCCAAGTACGCCCTACTAGTAGCTCCTAGGAAAGACTTTCAAATAGGATATTTTTCCACACTGATGTTTTATTTGTTTCTTTTAAAGTGGTATTTAAAAGTTGCTGCTGAAAGTATGCATACCCAGAGGTTTCATTGGTGGTTTGTGTGATTTTGAGTGGTTTTCCATTGTCTTACACATACTGGTTTGCCTCTTCAAAATTTTCTGATTAATATCAAAACAAACTCAGGACCTTGCGCTTGCTTTTTAAATAATGTATATACTCTTAATACAACAACAAAAAAAATCAGTATGTAAGCTGTATGACTTCTTTTACACTGAGGCAACCATTTTCAATTTTCATTTTGGCCAGTTCTTTTTTTTTTTTTTTTTTTTTTTTTAGACAAGGTCTCACTATTAATTCAGGCTGGTCTCAAACTCATAGCAATCCTCCTGCTTCAGCCTCCCAAGTGCGTGAATTACAGGTATCTGCCACCATACCCAGCTCATCTAGGCCAGTTCTCAACAGAAATCTTGTAATAAGGAGCCTCACAAAAACACTTTTTCTAGTCCAAGGAAAAACATATATAGACAGCCCTAGCTCTTCACCTCCTTTGAAACTACTGTAAGTGAGGTACAGATTTTCCTCTCTGGTACCACAGAGACCCTGTCCCACTCTTGTCTCTTAGCTCCACTGTGAAAAAGCAGACTGTGAGAGACTTGGGGGCTCCAGGGCCCAAACATTGTTACTCTGCGGCAGTGGAGCAGACAGCCCACATGGTACCCAAAACCCCCAGGGAAACAGAAAAGCATCTCATTAGGCCAGGGTGAGTTCCACCTTAGGCATAGGTTATGTAATTGGTTCTATTCTGACAAATAATTGAATTGCATAGTGAATTGATTTGGGTTCTCCTGTCATTTTGCCTAACAGCTGTTTCAATACCCACCCCCCACAGCCCAACTATATATTAATAAACATGACTGTAGTTCTTAAAAGCCAAAAGCTCCTCAAGAGGCCAAAGGAGGTACATCTAAAACTTATTGTGTAGCTGGGTATGGTGGTGCACGCCTGTAATCCCAGCACTCAGGAAGCTGAGGCAGGAGGATCACTGTGAGTTCAAGACCAGCCTGGGCTACACAGTGAGTTCCAGGTCTACATAGTGAGACCCTGTCTCAAAAAAAACAAAACAAACAAACCAAAACTTACTGTGTTTGTAAGCCACAATCTTGACATTCCCAAGGGCTGGGACTACCTAGGAGATAGGCTCAAGGAACAGGCGTCTTAAGACTTACCAGGGTCTTACATGGAAGATGACAGGGCACCTTGAGAGTAAGATTTCACAGAAATAGCAAAAATTTCTGGAGGGTGCAAACATGTACATGTGTAGAAATAAAATAACCAAACATACTGTATCATAACAAGTTCACCAAATTGCCCATATATGCATATAGTTAGGGTGAGTAGTCAGCACTAAAATTATGATTCTTCAATATCATGTTCAGTAAATATTATAAATTTTTCATTAATGAATGAAATACATATTTTATTTTATTTTATTTGGTACTGGGGATCAAACTTGGGACCTTGCGCTTGTGAGGCAGTTGGTGGAACCAATGAGCTAAATCCCCAGCCCTGAAATATGTATTTTAAAGGGGAAGTATGGAGATTTCTAACAAAATGACTGGAGCCCAGCTTCCTACTTGCGGCAGAAATAGCACTACATTCTGCATGTGCAGCCTCTGTGTCCTGGAGGCCACAGTTAGGCCATTAACAGGAGCTGTTCAGCAGAGGCCAGGAACCAGGAAGGGAGTTTTTATGTCTTTACTGAACTACTATGGGCAGATTTTTTTTTCTTTTTCATCTGAAAGGGAAAAGACTATTAGTAATAAGCAATGGCACTGGAATACTCAATAATTAAGTGCTAACTAGGAAGTCCTAGCTCCATATATTTAAATAGGGCTCTGCTAAATCTTGAACATAGCTTAGGGTGGTGGATACTGGTAAGAGTTCTCTGCCACAGCAGCTCTGCCGTTAACTATTTCATATAATTATTACATAGAGTATAAGCTTTTGTTTGAATACAGGGTTGCACTTAAGATTATCAGTAAATATTTATAATGTATCCTTCAAACCGAGATGCTTCAGAGTAAAAACAGGCTTACCCTCTGGCATGTTCTGTGGAAGTTTATAATTGAAATCTGTTGAGAAATCTGGCCCCTCACAGAGTTGATGGCATGCTATTGGGAAAACAGGTTCCAGTAGAATAAGGCGAGCTTCAAAGTAATCTCGGATTGTCTCCTCGGCCACTCTTGAAAGCCTATTAAGAAATGACAGGAAGTTGTTAATGTACTGACATTCATACCATACCACATATATAATTATGATTATTAGGTGTGTACAGCACCTCTGCCCTCACCCCCCTTCCCTGCTTGTTCCCTTGTGCACCCGACACCTGACATACTGTACTGTAGTCTGCCTCATGTCCATCTTCTCTCACTGTAACTGAAACTGCAAAGAACAAGTCTTTTTCCCTGCTGCTATCTCCATTCTCCCGGCCTTTAACACAGTGTCTGTTCAAATTTGCTTAATGAATGAATAACAAATGAGAGCCCCTGAGTGGGGGCAAACAGGAAGGCTCCCTTCAGCTAACCCATGAGGAGAGAAGATTTGATGCTTCCTGGGATTCCTTACAGTCTGGCCTCAGGATGACGGCACAGGCTATCCAGAGGGCAGAGTAGGCACAGGCCTTTTGTGGCCTTTGGTCCCTTATCTAAAATATACCTTACATTCTAATTAGAATAGAGATCCTCTGCATGGAATCAGAGTAACCATTTTGGAAGCAGGAAGAGCCAATGAGGATCAAGAGGCAAGAATAGCTTAGCGTCTTGAGACTGCCAAGAAGGTGCTTGTTTGGAAAATAAGCACCTTCTTCGGCTGGCTAATGGCTTGCGGCATTTCCAGCAGGTGTTGCCAAAATAATTCTTTAAACGATGAAAAGACACTTGTACTATGAAGTATAAACTTGGAATAAGACAGAATTCACTTTAAAAAAAAAAAAAAAGTAAACCAGGACACAGAATGTTAGTGCTTTAAAGGAATGAGGGGGGCAGGGGATTTAGCTCAGTGGTTCTGCTGCCTGCCTCACAAGGGCAAGGTCCCAAGTTCAATCCCCAGTACATTTAAAAAAAAAAAAAAGAAAACCAGGACACAGAATGTTAGTGCTTTAAAGGAATGAGTGGGGCAGGGGATTTAGCTCAGTGGTTCTGCTGCCTGCCTCACAAGTGCAAGGTCCCAAGTTCAATCCCCAGTACATTTAAAAAAAAAAAAAAGGAATGAGTCATCCAGACAGGCAAGGAACCAGCTACATGGCTGTAGTTAAATTAAATAAAAATTATCTAAAAAGCCAGATAATGTATGATTCCAAATACTGTAGAAAGGGCAATTAGCCAGCAAAAGATCAGTGCTCACCATGGGATGAAGGAGAGAAGAGCAAAGATGTGGAAAACAATTTTTAAAGCAGTGAAAACTACCGTAAGATACAATGGTGAATACCTGCCATAATACCCTGGTCCAACCCATGGAGTGTACACCATAAGGCTGAACCCTGTGTGAACTGTGGACTCTGTCTGCGTTGATACAGATACATAGATTCTAACATGTGCCACTCTGGTAAGAAGGATGACAGCAGAAAATGGGGTATGGGGGCAGAGTATGTGTTTTTTTGGAGGGGTACCAGGGATCGAACTCAGGTCCTTGCACTTGCAAGGCAGGTGACAGAACCAGTGAGGTAAATCCCCAGGCCCAGAGTATGTGTTTTAAAAAACAAATAACAGTTTAAAAGGTTTTAAGGAAATGTCAGCCAAATTAACAGCATACATAATTCAGAGATCTTTAAGGAGATACCCAGATCTAAGAGTTACGTGTGTTGTTTTCTAAGACTTTAATAACACGCACAAAAATAAAACATGCCCTTTATTAACTTCATGATCCACAAGAACAGAGGTCTGTTAGGAAACATACTAAAATCTTTTTCGGAGCAGTTATTTAGAGGCCATTCCAGTGACAGTGTGTCCAAACAAACAGGTTTTGTTAGTTAACCATGGCACATTCACTCTGTACTTACGTCTCCAAGTGGCTCTTCAGCAAGTCGTACACTAGCACATTGTTACACTGCTTTGCAAAATGCAGCGCACTATTCTGGTGCTTTGACAAAATGTTACAGTCAGCTCCACATTCGATTACAAGCTGAACAATGTCTGAATTTCCTCTTTTACAGGCCTAGGTCAGAAAAAGGAGTGACAATTACTTAACTGTAAACGACAGTTAAGTACAAGTTGGCATTGGTCCCTCTCTCCATCCAAACCTGGGAGTTCTTTGTGCAGAGTGAAGAATACAGAAAGGGTGAGAAAATCCACAGTAGGAATCACCAACTGTACAGCATTCCAGAGGACTCACTCTTCAGGGCACTTCCTGTTGCCCTCCTGCCACCTTTTCCCAGGCTCTGAACTTTCGTCCCCTGCTCTTTTCCCATGTGTTGGCCTTCTCCACCTCTCAACACCGGACCCCACTCCCAACCTATGGCTTCAGTGCGGTCACTCAGACTGATAGCCCTCAGGTCTGAATCTCCAGCCCATACCACTGTCCAGCATCTGCTTGCCTCTGATGCCCACCCTCCCTACTCAGGACGGACACCACTTCCTGTTTACCACCTTCTGAGAATTCTACCTCCCAAAAGGTAGTAAACTACCCACTTTTCTCTATCACTGGTTACATACAAATTACTAGTATCTGTTTACTTTACAAATCTTTTCCTCAGTCCATTCTGCCTTCTACTCTAAGGCATGTTAAACGAACTAACTCTTGAATCTACTTATGTTTTTCCAGCTTTAACCTGCCAATAGCTCTCAAGTGTCCTCAAAGTACATAGCCAGCACTGTACCGTGCCTGTCCCCAGTGCTGGTACCCTCCTCACTGGCCCTTTCTGCCTAAGCTCTCCTGTTCACATGTGCCCCAGGCTTTTCCCTGAGATGAAATGTCTATTTTCATCAACTAAAAATTAAAACAACAAAAAAGCACTGGGTAAGGCCTAGCGTGATTTTGGCTATGGCCTGAGAAGGGGCATGGAGCCCAGGCCATAAAACTGCAGGATTCAAGGGAAGACTCAGCGTATGGTCTGTTTCTGCACTGTTGACAGAGGTCAGAACAGCAGGGATTGAAGGCAAATACCTGCTTGGTTCACAGTTTACATAAAGCTGCACACCAGGGAAAGGTGAGAAAGACAGAGACACTTTTGGCTCAGTGTCTGCACCTGCTGTGTCCTAGCAGCTAAATGGGTCAGGAACCCAGAACAGCTGCAGAGGCAAAGCAGCACTGGCCTGAGTCCCGTGAGGCAAAAACAAACCTCTGAGGCAGGGAGGCAACTAACAACTACATGGGGCACCAGCAGGCTCTAACTACCTTCTACTGGGAATGCGTCTGCCAGCCAAGCGTGCCTAGTAGTCCCTGCTACTTGGGAGGCTAAGGCAGTACTACTGCAAGTCTGAACCCAGCCAAGGCAATTCAGTGACACGGTAAGACCCTAGCTCAAAATTTAAAATAAAGTTTTGCTCAATGAGGGAGCACAAGCTGGAGATCCTTCTGATCCTCGGCCACTCCCCAAATGCCCAAAATGAAGTCTAGCAAAGGAAACGTTTAGGTGAGAGAACTGGATATTCAGAGTGCCAACGTATCTACATAAGGGAAACATATTCTTGCCTTGGGGCATCTGTCTTACTGCTTAAGTCCTCAATAAATTAACTCAGTACAATCCTGAATCTGTCTGCCTCATTCTTTAGTGTCTCTTTTTTTTTTTTAAGTACCAGGGATTGAACTCAGGACCTTGTACTTGCAAGGCAGGCATGGTGCCAGAGCTAAATGTCCAGCCCCTGGTATGTTTCACTTTTGGTGAATGATTTGTTTACTCGAAAACGTTTTTCCAAAACAACTACATCCTGTTCTAGTTCCTGATGATATGCTGCTTTCAGGACCCAGCTTGGCCCTTATCACATCCACCCCAAGGCTCATCCCAGGTTCACAAGGACCACACCACACTCTTAAGTGCTGCTCTGCTGGCCCGCCGAGTCCAGGGACTTTGTCATGCTCTTCCCAGTTGTCTGCACAGGTCTGGCAGTGGCAGGTGCTAACATGAACACCTGTTAAGAGGCTGAGCAACTTACCTTCATGAGCGCGGTCTCACCATTGCTCTGCTGGACATTTACAAAAGCTCCCGCTTCCAGAAGAATAGCCACTGTGGTTAAAAAGTTCTATATAAAAAAAATTAATGCCAAAAAGTTTAAAAGGCTTTTTTAGATATTCTGAAACCTCAGTTGTCATGAAAGACTGGGCAAATTTTATCCCAAGTGGGTGCCTGGCCACCATCTACCTTCCTGCGCCTTCACTGTGGGTCTGTGGAGCCCTGTGACAGACCTGCCCCTGCCACAGGCACTTGAACACACAGCTGCTCTGCCTGCAAGGCCACCAGAAGCTTACTTAGCCTTAACCACTGCCTTCTATGTGAGAACCTCTCCATATAAATCCTTCAAAGTGACAATACACTCACTATAAATTACTAACCAAAGACAGTTTCAGTTGGGAACAACTTTTAAATTATCTCAGGTCTAAATCAATACTAGTACTTTAGATGTAATCATCAAAAATTATTTCCAACTGCATTTTGAAAATGTAGCCAGAACTACTGATACCAAAACCCATTATTACATGTCACAGATTAACCTGAACAATGAAGTGACTACACAACCATTATATTTCAATACAGAACATTCTCTGAGTTATGTAATACAGTGAATTCTCAAACCTTCTCAGCGGCGTGGATGAGGGCCGTAGTCCCATTCTTTTGCCGCCCATTCACTTTTGCACCTTTGGTGATGAGGAGTCGCAGGAGGTCATCCTGCCCTCCTGCTGCAGCAAGCATCACTAGCGTCATCCCGCTGGAATCCTTGGTTGGTTTGTTAATGAAAAGGCCTGTTAGTCTTTAGTCGGAACAATTTTAGAATCAAGTCTCTTCAGCCAGGATGTTTCAATGTGAAATCACTATATTGCACTTATTTCACATCTGCCTAGGTTTTTCACTAAAATATTCTAATCAACAACCAGAAACAACCTCTATAATTTTCTCACAAATGTTACCATAAAACATAACTTTCTTGTATTAAAATCTTAAAACACATAGTTTCCAGGATATAAAATGAATAGTGAAGCCAGAGGTGCTGGCAGTTATCTTAATACCCGCTACTTAGGAGACTGAGGCAGAAAGACTATGTTCAAGGACAGACTAGGCATCTTAGCCAGACACTGTCTGAAAAACAGAGGGCCGGGGATTTAGCTAAGTGGCACCATACCTGCCTTGCAAGCACAGGGTCCTGAGTTTGATTGCTGGTACAAAAACATTTTTTTAAAGGGCTAAGGATTATACAGCTCAGCCACAGACCACTTGCTTAATGTGTGAGATATAGTACTGATGATTAAATCTGAATTCACCACAAAAATCCATAACAAGTACTGTAATTTAAAAATGACCCTAGTAAAAAAAGAAAAAAAAATGACCCTCGTAGAATATCACCAAGTGCCTGAAGACAATATCCATCCAGCCATACACAGATATCAACAACTTTATCATATATAGGCAACAACCAGTTGGAAAAAACTATGAGTAAAAACATGGCCATAATAAAAAATATTTTAAGACATGGAAAAAAAATATAAAAGCTATATAAAGGAAAATATAAGAGCTATATAAAGGAAAAAAAATACATACAACTTTAAATGTATAAATGAAGAGCTAACTGCCAAATTATCTTCTTCATAGATGGAAGACTCAAAATGTATATTAAAGTCAATATTCAGCTAAGTTTTATATTACATAATTTCAAAATCCAGATTTTTTTCTGAATTGCAAGCCCAAAGGATTAAAACTTGAAAATACTCAACATTAAGAAAATATATGTTTTCTAAGTTACAGGCCATGAATGAAATACTTCACAGGATGTGACTGTCTCAAAGTAAAAACCCTCATGGCAGTAAAGAGCAAGCCACATAGAAGCCCAGAGGTCACAACCAAACCAGATGTTCGTTGGTGCGACAGAATTACAGAAACCAAAACTACACTACAGCTATACAATGTTTGAATTTTACAAAGTGAAAGTGCAGTTACTTTTGTAATTCAGAACTGAAACATAAAATTAATTTTGTCAAAAATACTACTTTTCCTGTTCCTTTTGTGAGACTTTTTGCTAAGTCAGACCTATTACCTCTTGGTCCAAGTTGTATTCTTCATTTGAGTTAAGTGCAACTTTTACAGAAATATAATCTCCATTTTTCACCGCATCCCTCAATAAATCTAAAATGAAAGAAAAGGTGAATTAGGTTTACATATCCAAGTTTGTTTAAAGAAGGTAAATAATTCTAATACCACTTACGACTTGGAATTGCATCTGCTGTGGCAAAAGTCTCATCTTCTCCATCAAGGTGCCTCTGAAAATCTTCTAATTTCATCCATTCCAGCTGGAGGTCCAGGCCCAAACTCAAAATCTGTTGCCTGCCATCTACAATACACATGAGCCTTATTAACATACACTCTTCCTAGACTACTATAAAAAGCTACACACACACACACACAAAAAAAGATCTCTTGAAAAGGGCCTGAGATTTAGCTCAGCGGTTCAGTGGCCTGCCTTGCAAGCACAAGGACCCAAGTTCAATCCCCGGTACCCCCCCCCAAAATAAATAAATAAATAAATAAATAA